TATTGAAGTGATACATGATTTAAGTCTCTCTGTTAATTACATAAATCAACTCCACATACTTCAACTCATGCACAGCACTGCTAGAGGCATATACAATGCTTAGTGAGTTTGTTATTACAATCTTTTCAAATCCTGGTGCTTCTCTCCATATAACACAAGTGAGAATTTCTAGAAAATATGTTGGTGGGGGTAGGTATATAAATTACAATACTTGGGACTCACATTATTTTACTATTAATCACCTATATTTTTGTTGCAAAAAAGTTCTATGAAATATAATCTATTATTGTCAATGCATTCTGTAAATAGCATCTCTGATGTATACCTAGTAATAATCTTTGTATGATAATTGGCTAAGTAATTTCATCTTTCATATAGAATATTTCTTTTTACCTCCATAATAGAGACCGTGCCTGGTTTGAGGGGCAGGCAATCAGCATTATATCCCTGGCATTGACCTGTGAATATATGAAAAATGTGTATACAATTCACCCCTCTCTGTTCACACTGCTTCACAAAAACAGGGAAAAGATCTCCCACATACACAACCTCTATGGCAGCTAAGGAATATTTTAAACTTAATGAAATTTTCCATACTGTTGTTTCTTCAAACAAAACATTCTATTGTTATAGAACTGGTGATACCAGTAAACTTAATAAAGTTAAAAAAGAATAAGTAATATGACCCCATTCATTTTTTTCCTCATTGAGTTTATTGGTACATTTTAGGTATACAGAAAAGTTACATTCATTATTGGGATCATGTACCTTTAAATGACAGGTTTTGGTTCTCATTTCTCCCCTTGTCCCTGCCCTCCCTTCACCCCTCCCCCCTTTACAAATGCTTCATTTTCTTATATTTTTCTTTTCCCTTATCTTTCCCCTACCCTTCCCACTTTCCCTACACCTTTAACCCCTTTCTTTCTGTTTCACATTGTCCATTATATCATTAGGATCTTATGTACTATCATAGTTTATTCACACTAGAGAAATCATTTGGTATTTACACATGTTTGATTTATTTAATTCACTTAGGAGTATATCCTCAAGATACTTATGAATAGGACCCTCCTTATATTAGGTACCTAGAAGAATCAAATTTACACAGACACGGAAGGATGATGATTGTAAGGGGATGAGGAAGTTAGAATAGGAATGTTTGAGGACAGAGTTTCAAATTAGGAAGATGAAAGAGTCTGCGACAGGAATACTGTACTACATGATGAAGGTATTTAATGCCAAATAACCAAAGAATGCCTGGCCTTGGCTACAATTTCTTTTTCTCTTTACATACATTAACCCCCGAAAAAGATCACTCCTTATCTGTATAATCTTCAGGGCATTTCTTCTACGAGAACTCAACACTAATTACAATGCTGTCTCAAAGATATCACATCCCTGCTCTATGTACAAGTGAAAATAAGTAGAACTGAAAGGATTAAAAATAAAAGGAAAGATACTGTCTAGGCCATTAAAAGTTTTCATTGTTTCCAAACCCACAAAGAGAAACAGAGAGACAAATTTCAGAAACTAATATGAATCTGAAATAATTAAGAATGAAACCAAGAAAAAAAAAACCCACTTGAAACTGTGAAATAATTGGAAGCATGGGAAAGGTGTGAGGAGCTGCATAAACTTCCTGCAGTTATTGCTGGAGAGAAATCTGTGCTGAGTGTTGAAGGAAAGGAAGTGCTCTCTGAGAACCTTTCTGGTCATCTGGGTCATCTGGTTCTGTCTATGTTAGATGCGTCTGAGGACATTCACTTCTTTACACTGTGAGCTTTCAGGAACACCCCCTCGCAAAGTAAGAAAAAATGATTCAGGGGTCTATTTCTGAAGTGGCAGGAGAATTAAGTATCTTGTTGTGTTAAGAGGACTACATGCAAGAATTATCTCTCTATGATATCTTTTGTCTCTAACCAGACAGACCAATTCACCTGACTCATCTTTCTACCTACTAACTATTGTAAGATCCATTAAAATGATGGACTCTGCCATATCCTATAAGCAATAACAGCATGGACACTCATACCTTCTAGAAAACAAACCACATAAAATAAAAGAAGCTACATAGAATAAGTACCTCAGGTCCTAACGTATAAGAAGCCCTCAAAATAAGTTCACGATGTTTTTGGTTATTATCCTCCTCTCCTACATTCTGATAATCACCTTCATAATCCTTTGGAGTACTTAGAAGTCAGTTAAAAAGATACAATTTATCATCATGGGTGAGACATACTTTTTAACAGAAAACAGGATGTGTACGTAACACATTTAAAATAATAATTCTGCTTTACCCACTAAAGCTAAAACCACAATTCCATTTCTTCTAACTAATATTTTTTCATATTTACATCTTCCCACTGGCCACTCAAACTGTCATGTTTGTCCTCACAGTGAGGAAGTAATACTTGCAAGGCTCTCTCCATATCAATCAGGTCCATCTGCACTTACTGGGTGATGCTGTTTCTCTGCTGGGTCATAGTCAAGCAGATCAGACCCCAAAACACTCCCACGTCTTCTGCCCATTAAATCCTCAGTTTCTGTCCTCAGGATTGAAATTAACATGAAGTTATGTATGGGCTCCCCGATGCAGACAACCTTAGGGCTGGGAAGTGAGTGTGGAGGTCACTGGAATGGAGTCATCAAAGTGAAGAGGTGGAGGACAAGGTAATTGTTGTCTATTGCATGGCCTTGGAGGCTAAATGCACAGAAATTATAATTAGCCAGATTGCTCTATGCCACCCCAATCTGTAAGACTTTTCTAATATTAATGTAATAAGGAGAAAAATAGAAGATAAATGTTCACAAGACATTTTAGAATTGTGATCTCCTCTACAATGACTTTGGTGGAGTTTGGCTTTTGCTACTGTAAGTCTCTTGTAGTTTCAATGGAACTTTAGGAATATTTTCTCTAGTTCTGTGATGTATGCTGTTAGTATTTTAATTGATAATGCATTAAATTTGTATGACAAGTTTTGGAGTATGGCTGTTTTCACTATGTTGGTTCTTCCTACCCATGAATAAGGGATATCTTTCCATTTTCTAATATTCTTACCCATATCCTTTTTCAGAGTACTGTAGTTTTCAATGTAAATATATTTAACTTCCTTTGTTAGATTAATTTCTAAATATTACATCTTTATGCTGTAGTGAAAGCATCAGAGTTCCAAGTGTTTCTCTTAGTCAGTTTCTTGGAATGCTATTGATGGAATGTTGACTTTGGATCTAGTAACATGACCAAATTTGGGTATTACATCTAGAAGTCTTTGGGTGGATTCTTTGGGGTCTCCTATGTAGAGTATTGTCTGCAAATAATGATAATTAACTTCTTCATTTCCTATATTCTTTCCTATTAACTTTCTCTTGTCTAAATGTTCTGGCAAATGTTTACAGAGCTATATTGAATAGGAGTGGTGATAGTGGACATCCTGGTCTTCTTCATGATCATTGGGTTAAAACTTTCAGCTTTTAAATATTTGTTATGATGTTGGTTGTTGGTTTATCACAGATGATATTTATCAAATTGAGATAAAGACAATCTAGTCCAATTTTCTATGAGGTATTTATCATAAGGAAATCACTAACAGAGTGAAGAGACAACCCACACATTGGGGAAAAAAATTGCCAGACATTCCTCAGACAAATGACTACTATTTAGAATAAATAAAGAACTGAAAAAATAAAACCCCCAAATCTAAAGACCCAATAAAAAATTGACATCTGTGATGAATACATACTTCTGAGATGAAAAAAGTACAAATGGTAAATAAATAGGTGAAAAAGGGTTCATCATCACTGGTAATTCAAAAAATGCAAACTAAAACAATATTGAAACTTTACCTAATGCCCAAAATAATGCCCATTATCAAGAAATAAACCAATAACAAATGTCAGGGGGGCTCTGGGGAAATAGGAACCATTCACTCTTCATGGGAGAGGAGACTGGTGCAACTACTATGAAAATCAATGTAGACATTCCTCAAAAATCCAAGATTAGAAGTTCCATTTGACCAAGCTGTTCTCGTGCTTATTTCCTTCCTGAAAGTATTAAACACATCATGACACATTGATACATGCACATCTGTGTATGCAGCAGTAGAGTTTGTAATGGATATATTTTAGAAACAGCCCAAATGCTAATCAACTACTGAATGGATAAGAAGATGTGTTTTTTTATGCAATGGAGTACAGTCATCCATAAAGGATATATTTGAGAAATTAAAAGGTAAATAGATGCATCTATGGACAGTACTGTTGAGAATAAATCAGACACACATTTATAAATATTACATTTTTTGCTATGTGAAAAAATCTGAAAGTGTAAATGATGACAAAAATGTATGAGATTTTTTGAAATAGGAAGAATATCTTCAAATTACAGTAGGGAGAAGGGAGGGGAGGGGGAAAGAAAGGAAGGGAAATTAAAAAAAGGAAATAAAGGTAAAATGGAAAAAAGGAAAGAAAAATAAAAGGGAAATAATGTTTTTGTAAATGAGAAGTGAAAGAGGAGTAGAAGGCAGCAGAGAGGAATTGAAAATAGAATGAATATATATAATGTACAGGTACAAATTCCATATGATGAATCTGATCACAAAGTATATCTAAACTATACCAATAAAGTTAACTAATGAGGAAGAAATTAATAGTGAAAAAATAGTAATGATTTAAAAATTCAAAAAGTGATCAATTAGATATTGCTTAAAATAACATCAGCAATAAAGGAAAATGCCCAATATTTAGATCCATCAAGAAAGTGAAAAGCAAAACCTATATGAGATAGCATCTCACACATGTGAAAAACACTTCTACCAAAAATGAAAGACAATTGTGGATGATGGATAAAACCTAAATTCCCCCACCCACCAATCAGCCATGACTCTCACATGAATCATGAATATAAATTGAAGGCATTAGTCTTCTGAGATCATATGATTAATAAGACATTGTTGAGAGGTGAATTTGGGTTTTCAATTTCACTACATTTTCAAAACAACATCTCAGATTTTTACCATACAATCCGAGTTTAGACTTTGACTGTGGAGCTTGTTGAGTGTGTTGCTGATGTCCCTGTTCCTCAGGCTGTAGATGAAGGGGTTCAGCATAGGTGTGACCACGCTGTACATCAGTGAGGCCACCATGACCTCCATGGGAGAATATGACACAAGTGAACCAAGATATGATGGAAGGCCTGGTCCATAAAATAAGCCAACAACTGACAGGTGAGAACCACAGGTACAAAAGGCTTTGAACCTTCCACTTGATGATGATATTTTTAGAACTGATGAAACAACATTACATTAAGAGAAAAATGATCCCTAACATGGGAAAAAAGACTAATATGGCACCAACAAAATATGTGGCAAAGGCTTTTATCAAGATATCAGAACATGAAAGGTTAAAAATGGAGTAGGATGGCAGGAAAAAATTAGCAATTTCCACAACTTTGAAGCAAGTAAATTGCAAGACAGTTACTTTGTGCAGCTGAGAGCCCAAAAGGCTGATAAAGAATAAGAATAGCATTAAGACAGAGAGGTGTGGATTCATAATGACTGTGTAGTACACAAAGTGGCAGATTGCCAGAAACTGATCATAGGCCATCACGGTCAGAAGCATGTCATCCATACATCCAAACATTGAGACAAAAGACAACTGTGTCAGGCAGTCCACATAGGAAATGACCCTACTGTGAGTTAGGATGTCCACAATCATCTTGGAGACCATAGTGAAGGTGAAACATGTCAATCAAGAACAGGTTGGGGAAGAAGAAGTACAGGGGTGTGAAGGTGGGAGGCAGAGCTGATGGCCAGGATGATGAGCAGGTACATTGACAAGAACAATCCCAAAAGAACCAAGACATGTCATGTTAAGGTACAAGATCCCAATAATGAATGTAATTATACTGTATACCTAAAATGTACCAATAAACTCAATAAAAGAAAAAAAATTCAAATATGTATGTTACATTATGTGTTTACATAGTACTTGAGCTCCTTTTCAAAATATCCTTTGTGGGGGAAAACAATGAATAAGTAGCACACATGATTCTATGTAGATCATAAATTGAAGTATTCATAATCGAAATATACTCAGATGAGGTCTATAAACCTTAAAACAAGGTGATCCATTGTGATAAAACCCATTCTTTCATTATTGAGTTATTTGTTTTCCAGCTCTATCTGGGCACTCTCACTTTATAGACACTCTAGTGGCCAACTCTAGTGTCCAGATGAGAACATTTGAGATGAGAAAACTATGACCCCAGTAAAATATATTAAACTCCTTAAAAGATAAGAATACATTTTTATTTTTAAACTATTATTTTTATGTCTATAAAAATAAACAAAATATCATTGCAAACTCTTTAGAGAATAACCTTAGTTATTACACGATGTGCCATAGTCTTAATAGAAAGGGACAAATGTTACTCAGAGTACAATTCATCGACAAAAATGACTCTGCCTTACAAAACAAAGCAAATTGAATATAGCACAAAATCTTCTTTTTAATAAACTGAGAAAAAAAAGAGAAATACAACTGAAACAATTTAGCATATGTACTTTTTTTTGGATCCTGGGGATTGAACTCTGGTCTTTGCCCTTCCAAGGCAGGCCACCAAACCCCTGAGTTAAATCTCCGGCCCCTAAAATATTTTAAACAATGTAATAATTTAAAGAATTATTTGAACATCTATGTTGTTTTCTGTTTGTCTTCCATTTTACTCTTTATTTATATATGTATATTTTTCTTGCTGATATGCACCAAAAATATTTATGTTTTTCTATCTGCATATTGAAATCTCAATTGTTTATTAATAATGATAGATCTTATAATTATTAATGAAGAGAAAAGCACATATGAATAATGATTTTGTTGAATAATGATTTTTATTTTATATTTGCTTACCTCGTGAAAAAAGAGGAATCAGGATATACCATGTAAAAATATAAAATTGTATTTATCCGGTCCTAATATATGCACACAATCTTATGACACATTAGTGCATACCATACCTGTCAATGATTAATATATTAAATTGTAAGAAGCACATCTGCCATTTTTAATTTTCTACTGGATCATTTTACTCCATAAAATATCTCCTATGTGTGATACCCTTTTGTTCTTTTTTAAATTCTATGTTTTGTAGTAGCATTGGATTATGCTTCATTATTGCTCTGATACTAGACCTTTTTATATCCAGTGGCACTGTTAGAAACAAGTTAAGTTCAAAGGCCTGAATGATTTCAAGCCTCACTAACTCTGATTGATAGGTTTTTCAGATTAATCTTTCCTGATGATTTTTGTTCTCTTATTTTGGCTACATATAGGAAATTGGGATAGTTTGTTCTGTTACCCCTTTATAACTTGGGAATATGCAAAAAAACCCACAAAATTATAATACACACCTAAAAAGTCATGTACAAAATAAATAAATATATATGTGTGTGTATATATATATATATATATATGTATGTATTTATGTGTATATATGTGCGAGCGTATACACACACACACACACACACACACACATATATATATATATATGTGAAAAAACTTCTGTAAGTACAGTAATTCACTCTCATCTATAAAACAGGAATAGGGTAGCTGTGTAAAAGTTTTGAAAATATTTAATTTTTCATCACTAGTGATAGATAATAGATAGATAATGTAAAAGTACTCAGACACCATAGGCTCAGACCAATTATTTTAATCAGCTTTTGAGCTTCTGTTTAATTTCTTACACAAGGTTTTGGAACAATGTTTTATAAAGTTTTCTTGTATTCAAAAAATACTTCATATATATTATCTCTCCAATAATAACATACACTTATTTATTAAGATAACTGATTTTAGAGACTGATAATTGCGTATGAAATTTAAAGTGTTGCCATACCTCTGTAATTTCATTCTCATGATAAACCATCCTCAAAGAAACCTTTTCTCATGAAAAAGAGAAATCTTTTCTCTTGAGTGGATGGTCACTCCCTCCATGGGACATGGGTTGAGGCCCAACATGGACCATGCCATTTAGCCCTTTCCATCCCAACCAACACACCAAATATTGTGGAAGGAATTGGTAAATGGAGAGAGACAGAATGGAAGTAAAATAAGAAAAAGCTTATTTTGTCAGCAAAAGGTGAATTATGCCCCAAAGCAGTGCCAGAGATGAACCCCCTACTACCTTACAGTTCCCTCTTTTATAGGGTTTTACAGCCTTGATCTCATTCAGGTGGTTACATTTCATTCTATCAATTCATATTACTGATATAAAAATCATGGTCAAGAGACAGTTAATTTTCAACCCAGATGCAGCAATTCTTTTTAATTAGGGGAGTTTACCTGTAAGATTCACTTAGTTATCTATTCTAGACTATAGGAAGAGGGTGTTCAGGGTCACGAAAGCAAATGTTAACGATGGTTCTTTTTGTCTTGAAGCTTTTACAGCCATGTGGTTTACAGAACTTCAGAGCTCAGGGTCTTGATGTTATCTCAAAATGAGACCAGATGCCTCATTCAGTGGTTAGTGCTTCCAGTGTCTCTTAATTCTGAATTCCACAAAGCAAACTGCTGTTAGAGACAACATAAATTTCCAGTTTGGAAAATGAGAAATTATTGAAGATATATGATGTTGAGTGACTCACAACAATATCGAAGTGTACACTTATCATGGTTAAAAGTGTAATTTTGTTACATGTATTTTACTTCAAAAATGAAATAAAGGCAAATCACCATTTAGGAAGTATATATAAATGACAGAAGTCATTAGGACAAACTAGATTTATCGGAGTAGATAAAGAATCCAAAATATCTTGTGGACATTTGTCTTCCTTTTTTCTCCTTCCATTAGCATTTGGAAATCCTTAGAGATTGGGATGGCAAAGATCAATTTGGCAAATTATGAGCTCTGTGCATTGAGACTCCAAGACACAGAATAGTCAATATTTAGCCTTGAGCCTTTTAGTTACTCCAGTCCTGTTTCCATCTCTGTACCTGTGTCCCAGGCGCTACTGTTGTCTGTATTAAGGAGATCCTATGTGTCTTTGCATAAATATCAATCTTGAGGACAGAGACTGAGCTTTCATTGGGCAACAGGCATAAGAAGGTCTTTGGGTCTGCTCTCCTTGACTAAGATCCAGCAGAGAAACAACATTATCCAGTAAGAACAAAGGGAGCTCACTGATATGAGAAAGATAATTAAAATTATTATTTCCTCATACCAAAGAGAAGCATGGTATTTTTGATAGCCAGATGAGGGCACAGATATGAAAAACAGTATATCAGTTATAAGGAATAGAAATTTTATTGTCTTTTTTATAGTGGGGAAATGATTATTATTCCAAATTTCCTTTCTACATAACCTGGTTCTACTTCCATTGATGTCTCACTTATAACAGCAGAAAGCACGGCCTTCTGCAGGGTCTTCTAAGTGCTCTAAGGGGATTAAAAACATGATGATCAGGATATAGAAAAAGGCACTAACCATAACATCAGGAAACGCATTCAAGGGCTTCATGTCTTCCAGGTACTCAGAAATTTCTCCTATTGTCTTGTTTTATTTCATGTCTTCTTTCTTTCTGGAGTTATATTTGTCAAAAAATGGAAGAATCTTTTATTTTAATGGAACTTGCATGCACTTGCTATGTAGAAAAATGCCTTAGTCAAATGGGGTTGTGTGATTACAGACACAGGGTAATTCTGCTAGGTAACCTCTTATCGACAGCAGACAATTAAATCTCTGTCACTTCAGCAGAGGCCCCTTGCTCACTGTGCCCTTACTATTGGAGTTCTCTGAAACTTCACAGAGAAGAACAGTGAATATCCCCAGCTGAGTTCATCACAGAGAGGTGTGGATGACAGACAAACATCTGAGAGAGAGCACTTCCTTAAGCATTCAGCACAGATTTCTCTCCTAACACCACTGTAGGACATTTTTGAGCTTCCCACATACATGTTCTTCCTTGCACTTATTTCCCATAATTGAAATGTTGAAATTTCAAGTCTTAATTTCATTTGTATTGAGGAAATGAGAGTTGAAAGTATTCCTCTAAAGGACCTATGATTATCAAATCTGAAACTTTGCATGAAACTTTCTGTGGATTGGAAACAGTGAAACATTTCACTGTATCAGATAGCATATGTTAATTTATTTTTTAATCCTTTCAACTACACTTGTTATTTTTGTGATTCAGGGAGGCTTTTTAATATCTCAGAGAATATTTACATTAGCGTTAAATTTTACTAGAAGTAACTACACTAAGAATTATGCATAAGATAGCAAGTACTCTATTTAGGGTTAATGTGTATAAATTAGAGTCAATTAAAATTTAGGTATCATTACTATCAGTTATAAGTATATTCTTACCAGTCATCTCTGGTGTCCTGTAGTCACTTCTTTTCTATTTCTTTTGCAGGACATTGCTTTAGTATCTGTGTGATTATATGTATATGTGTGGAGAGGAATAGTGTACTTTACTTTACAGCTTATTTCCCATACCTATAGTTTGTTTCTCACAGAAGAGACATTAAAAATAAAAACCCAAGGCTGAGGATTTAGCTCAGTGGGTCTGCTACCTGCCTTGCAAGCTCAAGGACCTGAGTTTGATCCCTGGTACAAAAGACAATTGTGAACAAAAATAAAAACCTGCATTCAACATTGAATGGACCCTTCCCTGAGTCACAGTACTTATCCATAATCAGCATGATGTGAAGATGCTTAATACCTTACTGTATGCAGCTCCATTCCTTTCACAAATGCCCCATTGATGTAAAGACAAGACAAAATAGTATTTGTTTTTGTTTTTCTTTGTGTCATGGACACATGGATCCTATAATCCACTTAATTTTTTCTCTATAACTTATTGTAAAATAAAACACAAAGGATTTATTCATGTGTTCTTTTAAAGGCACAAAGTGAAGGGAGCAAGTGACTGTATGCCTCAAGTTTATGTAGATTAAAAAACATGTAATTTCAAGTTCCAAAGCCATTTAAATGAATTTTGCTATACTTAATAAACTTTATACTTGCTTAATGGTGCAAATCTTTATTTAAAGAAAAAGAATTCATGGGAAACAATAAAAGCAGTCTTAAAATGAAAATTTATAACAGCGAACTTTCACATCAGGAACACAGAATGAACTCAAATGAACAACTTAATATTGAACCTTAAACTTCTAGGAAAAGAAGAACAAATCAAGTCATGGCAGAAATTAATGCAATAAGAAATCTCAATTGCTAAATAGTTAAATTCTACCTTGTTTAGTTGCCACACATATGGATGTGTGCTATTATCCTTATTTTATTCAAGCATTATGAGCACAGAGAGGAAGAGAGATTCACACACCTTGTGCTCTCCGTAACAGGTCACTCAGGACTAACATGCTCATTTCTTCAATGACAAGCCTTGGCCACAGGCTCCAAAACGGAAGCAAGATTGAAATTCTCTTCCCCATGAGACCAAAAAATCTCTTTGTGTTATATCATAAAGAGATCATTACTGGAAAGATAGCAGATGTATTTTGAATGTTTATCTGACAAGAGGATGTAGGTAAAAATGATTCACCTATTTTGTGAAAAAATATAAATTCTGTGTGCAGAAATAATATAAAAATATAAATTTTTGTTTTGTTGGAAATTGGAAAAATATCAGTGCAAAATATTATATAATGATTTTAACATGAGTGATAGGGAAAGAAGCACAAGAATTTGGAAAATATTATCATAATAATTAACTTACAAGGTAAATGAGGCCTTTCTCTCCTATCCCTCCCTCCTTCTCTCCCTCCCTCTCCTCTCTGATAAGGCTGTGAATGAGTTGAAGATGACCTAAAATCACTACATGTGGATCCAAGCCAGTTTCTTTGGGGGGGGCAATAGATGTTCTATAACACACTACTCAGATGAGTTTTAGGTCTCTTTTAGGTAATTTTTAAGAAAATTGTGGATCCATAAATAGTGTGAATCAGAAAACATTGACAAGAAAATCTAGCCATAAATTTCATGACAACAAATACTTTTGGTGAAAAGAGAGAAAGAGAAATGATAAAAAGGACACAACATTTTAGATAATTGTTCATACATCTGAAGAATATTAATGAGGTTGTAAATATTATCAAATATTTATGTTAATTTCTACAGAGATAGTATAAATGGGACATTTTCTAAATGCCAGCAAATATGCTCAGTGGTTCTCAGCTCTCATTTAAGAAAGTGACTCAAAAATTAGAAATGTATATATTCTGAATAATGTGTTAGACTAAGCCTAGAGTATTCTGATATATGACAGTATCTCCAGATAAATATATTCCTAAATTAGCATCAACAGTGATGCAAACTAAATGATTTTCGAAATATTTTTTTGCAGCATCAACATACAGTAGGTAATTCTAATTCTCATTTTACAGACAAGGGGGAGTACATAACTGGCATGTGCATTTATAAGATTTCACATACTTTTTTATTTTTGGCTAAGTTTTAAGGTGTACTTACATTTTTTCATGTACTATTTTGGGTTTTTTTTTTTCAATTAAATTACAGAGTGACCGAAGGAAAATATGGACACCGCTTTCCATCACATAGCTGAAATAAGAAAATATAGCTCATATACCAAGAAAATTTGATGAGAAAATATGTTGGTTAGACTCAGCAAGGCTGAGACTCAGCCAGGGAATTGTGAGTATCTCTGTTTCCAAAGTCATCAACTGGAAAAGAGGGTTGATTATCAGAATAGCAGGCTATGGTAGACTACAAGAGCTATCATAGACTAGAGCCAAGGAAGAGATGTCTTATACAGCAGATATTTTACTGGTATTGTATGATTAAATACACCTGTATAAAATATTAAAGGAAAAAGTCCTTCTTATTATTTACTGTTTTTATTAGTGAATGCAGTGTACACTAATCTACAGTTGTGGTAAAAATATCTAAAGGTTATGTGCATGTATCTGAACCTAAGATGCATAAATTAGAATGCAATAAAGACAGGATAAATGTTTTGTATTGAACAATTTATACACAAACACAATTTATGAAAAATGTATATACAAAGCCTGGGTAAGCTTTTACATTCTTAAAAGGTGAATTCAGAAAAAAAAACAAGAAAATTTAAATATTTTATTTTTTAGCACAGTGGTTCAAAACAAAATGTTCTGAGTAAAGAAAATTAACTTTAATTTAATTTTCATATAATGCAGTTATTGTATTTGTAGGTATTTCAATATAAGAAAATTGAAGCATTTTATGAATATAAAATATGAAATATTTCAATGCTTTTCAATTTTCCTGCAGTAGAATCATATTTTCTAAAAGGAGAGTGACTTAACTACACTTTATACTTTTTTTGGAAAAGAGTTTCCCACATGTTACGGTGATCAAGGACTTCAGAAATCAATGTCCTTGGTCTGCTTACACTGGGCAGTAGATCATCAGTAAACTAAGAGTATACAGAGGAGACAGAAAACAAACCACCCAGCAATGAATCCATGATGGTTAGTTTTGTCACAAGAGAGCAATATTGCTGAAGTTTGTGGATTTCTGGTGAGAATTCTTTCCATATGAATAATTGAACTCAATATATAGAGTTTCATGTGTATTTTTTGTTTCACTACTTTCAATGAAATTTATTTAAATGTGCTCAATTAACATGGAAAGACATAATCTCACAAAAGTCTCAGAATTCTACCTCATGCACTTCTCAGAGGATCCAGACCTGCAGCCTATCCTCTTTGGACTGTTCTTGTCCATGTACCTGGTCACAGTGCTTGGAAACCTGCTCATCATCCTGGCTGTCATCTCAGACTCCCACCTCCACACACCCATGTACTTTTTCCTCTCCAAGCTGTCCTTCACTGACATCTGTTTCACCTCCTCTACAGTCCCAAAGTTGATTTTGAACATACTCACTCACAGTAGAGTCATCTCCTACTTGGGCTGCCTGACACAGATGTCTCTTTTTATCCTTTTTGGATGTATGGATTACATGCTTCTAACTGTGATGGCCTATGATCGCTATGTGGCCATCTGCCACCCACTGCACTATGCAGTCATTATGAACCCTCAACACTGTGTCTTCTTACTTTTGCTGTCAATCTTTGTTAGCACTTTGGATTCCCAGGTGCATAGTTTAGTTGCCTTACAAATTATGTGTTTTAAAAATGTTGAAATCACTAGTTTCTTTTGTGATCCTTCCCAACTACTTGAACTTTCATGTTCTGGTACTTTTGTCAAAAACATAGTCATATATATTCTTAGTATCCTATTTGGTTTTATTCCCATGTCAGGGATCATTTTCTCCTACTATAAAATTGTCTCTGCCCTTGTAAAAATCCCATCATCTAGGGGGAGGTACAAAGCTTTTTCTACCTGTGGTTCTCACCTGTCAGTTGTTTGCTTATTTTATGGAACAGGCTTTGGAACTTACCTTGGTTCAATAGCATCATATTCTCCCTGGGAGGGCATGGTGGCCACACTGATGTACGCTGTGGTCACCCCTATGCTGAATCCCTTCATCTACAGCCTGAGGAACAGGGATATTCTTAGCACAGTGAAGAGGCTCTACCTTTGGAAAGTTCAATCCCAGAAAATTTGCCATTTATTTGGAAGGTAGTTTAGAAAATGTGGTAAGAATGAAAACACAAAACTTATTTGTAAATACTTCCTCTATGTTTTTATTGTTTCTGAAGATTGATTTCTTTAACTTTATATGATGTTTCATTATAGATCATAGGTGTTCTGGTGGTAGTATTTAGTGTTCTTAGGTGGGAAATTGGAAAATTTCTGAATATGGGTATGAGTGACAGTTACACAGAAAATGCTGTAATATATGTAACCAGTGTCTGTACATAAGATGGCTTCAAATGCTACCTTTAGATGTGTATGCCTTTACAGAATGCACAATGGAAATAAAAAGCTGAAGACCTGGTTTTAAAAGAAAAATATTAACAAAGATAATAATAATTTAAGACTGCTGTGTAAAGAAAGAGCACAAATTTTTGTTGCATTCAATATTTTAACTTCCACAGAATTTCAGATATTTCAAGAAAGGAATAATATGGACCAACATGGATAATTAATTATAAGCTTTGTGCATTGAGATTTCAGTGTTATGTGATATGACACCTCCTGTCAATTCTTCCAGTGTTTGTTTATTTGCCATCTTGGGATATCTCCATCTCCTTTCATTTTCGTGTAAAAGAGGAATCCCATATTTTCCATTGTTGATCATAGTCGTCTATGGAGAGCATTGTAAAGGAACACGACATGAGCACAGCCATATTGACCTGTGATTCACCCAAGCAGTGTGGACGTGCCATCGCCCATGGCAATGAGCTAATTCAGCTGGTGGTCTGATCCATTGCCTAGCAGATGTAATCCATAATAGTTGTTATTGTTTCCCTCTGGAATGTGTGGGCGGTACTCTCGCTCCTGTGCAGCGGGAGAGTATAAAAGGGAAAGGTTCGATAATAAAGCAAGCAAGGAACATGAGAAGAAAGGTGCCTACCATCTCTCTGTCCTCGTCCTTTCAGGTTTAGGACCTGCTGGCAGGATCCTGACGTCGCAGCTCGCTACAGTTGTCTAGCCTGCCCTTTAGCTCTTTGTCATCCTCAGAGATGGGGAGTGTGGGATATGTTTGGACATCCTATAGTAAATACACAGCCTAACTCAGAAAATGATGGATGGAGGAATGAACTGTTTTTCAACAGTTCTATCACTTTCTATCATGCAGATATACATGAAAGTTTGGACAGTAAGATGGGATGGTAAGATTGTTCACACTTTCAGATAAGAGGAATGTGGAATGCATATGCTTGATTATTACAGGGAATCCAAAATCTCAGTCAAAGTTTTCCTTTCCTCCCACAATATTCCTGCTTTTCATAGACATCTAACACATGATAGTATAGTATGGATCACTAAATTATTTCCACAGAATCTCAAAAGAATTATGGTAGAGAGGAGCAGGAGAATGTTGATGATGAAAATAACCACACTATTATGAAGCAACAAATAAAGCTTTCCTAATAGCAAGATCTATGTTATTTATTATATGTAATTTGTTTCATTTTATTTGTATAATATTTCTGAGTAAAAGAAACCATATTAGTATTTTAAAAGGTAATAGGGGAAGAACATTTTTGTATAATTTACTACAAATTGTTGGATTAAAAATAGTGAAGAAATATTTACACAAGACTGTCTGATAACACACACAGGGCATTTTACCTGGGAAATCCTGGCACATATCTCCTTTGAGAATCCAAACACCCATTTCTCTTTCTTGTACCTCTACAGACCCATTTCTTACTGTAATTTACCCTTAGAAGTTCCAAGTGGATCACTGTTGATAAAGGGGTGAAAACTGCTGCATCTACATTATAAAGGATTTAGAAAGGATATCTAAATTAAGAATTAAAGATCAACTTTTAAGAAGGTCTACAATGGTTAATTTCAATTTCATGCCTGACCACCACTCCAGGCTTTCCTAGAAGCTGCCCACATCCTTCCCTCTCTTACAAATCATCCTTCCCAGTGTCCACAGGGAAATCAATTCACATTAGCTTTCTCTCCTACTCTACATACTGAAAATAGTTTGAGATTTCCCACATAACTACAGTGTAGACAAAACAATCTATGCTGAAATTTTTATTGTTGTTAAGAAAGAAAATGATTTGTGCATCAGACACAGAGACTGAAAATTTAATTTGGAGTCTTGTCCCCACCACTTAATGATATATAAATTGTGGCTTGATGTTTTTAATCTATGACATCTGAGTTCATTTCTAGTTTATACTACTGTATTAAGCATGGATTAAACATATGATGGATGCTTCTCCAATTATTAATAGGTAATGACTACATCAGGCCAAATTCAAAGTAGACATCATCAGTAGAACAAATGATAAAAGATTCAATTTCACAACATTCAAATACAATATTCTGATATCTAAAATTGTCTTTTTATTTTCTACATAATGAGATATATTGTATTTTCTTTCTGTAAATGTGTTTGTGTTTGGAATTATTTTTTTCTGGCTCCCTAGTTATGATCTCTATACTGGCTCACAGGAATAATTAAAAACAAAAATGTTTTCTAAACAATAAGTAGACTCAGCTCACAAAATGTGGACAGTTGATAGAGATCGTAAGATGTTCATGGATATAAAAACTGCATACATAAAGAAATAATGTAGGGCCAAGGATTTAGCTCAGCTGTTCAGTGGCCTGCCTTGCAAGTGCAAGGACCCGAGTTCAATCCCCAGTACCAAAAAACAAACAAACAAACAAGAAATAATGTAATATGGTCAGTGGTCAAAAATATATTTTAACATTTAATATCAGCACAGTTTGCATGTCCCTTGACAGTAAAAATTCTAATTGTCTAAAGTGATTCATTTAAAAAGAAATCCCACAGTAACTAAATATTTTAGTTGCAAACATCCTTTAGTTGTGCATATGTTGTAGAAATAGGTGATAATTTCCATATTTACACCAAGGAATAAGAGCTGAGAGAACTGCATATATTTACATACATTGTACACTATTAACAAGTAAATGCCATATGTCTTACAGATTAATTTCCCAGATCTAATCCCAAATTATAGTCTCCTCTAGTGCAAGGTGAAATGTCTTCATCAGTAATCATGCAAGGATTACTACTAGACATATCTCAGGGAAAATTTTGAAACTATACCAGAAGAGTATGATTATATATATATAT